ATAAGGTAAAATAGAAGAGATTTCTAAATCAAAAGGTAAAAATAAGATAGCAACTAAGATGAAAGCAACATCAAAAGCAGATCTAGATTGTTGATAAGAAGTGAAACCACATTCGAAAGGTCCATTTTTCTCAGTATATGAATTTTCATTAGATATTAAATAATTTAAACCTATTAAAACACATGCAACAATAGGAGCTAAAAATAAATAAAATGTAAACATTATATAGATATATTAATTAAATAAAGCCCTTCTAACATTGATGGTAAGAATACAAAGAAACTAATTAATAATGAAGTTGATGTAGCAATAGTAAATGCTAATGAAGAATTAATATATTGTATAGTATTAGTATTATTTTTTATAATATTAGTATTAGTTTTACTTGTTATTAAAACTTTAATTATATTAGCATAATAATAAGTAGCAAAAACACTACAAACAACTAAAGTACATGATTCTAATAAATAATTATCTTGTATAGCAGCAGCTAATATATATAATTTAGCATAAAATCCTGGTAAAGGTGGTATACCTATTAATGAGAATAAAGCTAATATTAAACATATAGCTAATGTTAAATTAGGTAATTTTAATTGATGTATAAATATTAATGGTGATCAATTAGATATAGGTGTATTTATATATTGACCAGCAGCTAATATACCTAAAAATAATATTAAATGAGTTAAAACATATTGTATAATATAAATATAAAAAGCATAATCAAAAGTTATAATAGTTAATAATATATAACCAAAATTTAATATACCACTATAAGCTAATATAGTTTTAATATTTACTTGGAATAAAGGTTTATAAGCAGCTATTATTAATGATATATAAAAGAATATTATTAATACATTATGATGGAATAAATTTACATTAGCAAATATTCATGATGCTATTGATATTTTAGCTACAACACTTATATATGCAGTAATATATGTTGGTGCATAATTATATACTGCTATACTTCAACGATGTAATGGAGCCATACCCATTTTAAATAATAATGCTATTAACATTATATCAAAATAATCATAAGCATTATTATATGTATATATTATACTTATATCTGATAAATTAGTTGTACCAGTTAAAGCATATATGAAATATGATGCTAATAATATAATAGTTGAAGCAACACCACCCATTATGAAATATAATAATGAAGCTCTTGATGCATTATATGATCTACTATGTAAACCTGTTAATAAATATAATGAATAACTTTGTAATTCTATTACAACATATAATACAATTAAATCATTAACTAATGGAAATAATAATAAACCTATTATATTTGTTAATAATATTACAAAATAATATGGTGATTTATTATCATATCTATGTGTAGCTGTTATATATATTGATAAAGCTATTATTAATACAAATATTAATATAGATAATGGTAAATTATACGGTGTTAATATAAATAAATTATTATATAATGTTATTCCAGGTGTTATAGCTATCATATCCATAGATGTTATATATATGTATAATGAATATATTATACTTATTATTGCTATTCTATTAAGATATATATTATTATATTTCCCTTGGTTATTAAAAGTTATTGATATATTCTTTTCTGAATTATCATTTTTTTCTTGTGCAATATTATATTGCCCATTTGTAAAAGTTGAGAAAACTAAAATTATTAAAAATGCTGTAAATAGCATTACCTTAATTTAATCCGCAGCAAGCTTAGCTTGCTGCTATAAAGAATCTTATTATATCTCTTTAATCTTATTTTTTATTTATTCCTTTTATATAAATATATATATAAGTATATATATTTATATGGCTATAGTTATCAACAATGTTGACAACTGGATGGAAGGAAAATAATCTGCAGCTAGCTTTACTTGCTACTATTTAAATAAT